CTCTCTGTCTCTCTCTCTCACTGTCCACTCTGCCTGTCAAAAAAAAAAAAAAAAGAGAAAACATTTATTTTATTTATTTGAAAGGCAGAGTTAGAGAGAGAGAGAGAGAGAGAGAGAGAGAGATCTGCCATCTGCTGGTTCACTCCCCAAAAGGCTGCCATGGCTGGGGATGTGCCAGGCTGAAGCCAGGAGCCTGAACTCCATCCGGGTCTCCCATGTCAGTGGCAGGGGACCACTACTTGGGCCATCACCTGCTGTTTCCCAGGCACATTAGCAGGGAGCTGGATAGGAAGTGGAGCAGCGTTGAGCTCAAAGCAGGGCTCGTATAAAATGCCAGCATTGCAGGTGGCTTAACCCGTAGCTCCATAACACTGGCTCCAAACCTACTACTGATTTTTGAAATTTCAGACCCTCTAAGAAATTTTCCAGAACATTCCCTCTTCTACCTGCAAATAACTGTAGGCCCTCACCATCCTGTACACGTATTTCTATCACACAATCTGCCACTTTGTGTACAGACCTCCCTCCTGTCTCATGCCTAGTGCACTGCTCATGACGAGGTCCAAGTTGATGTCTGCCATCTAATAGGTGCTGTGTGCAACGTAGCCATCAGATTGGGTTACCACGCCTGAGTAACAAAAAAAACAAAAAAAAAAAACAAAAAAAAAACCCAAAACCCTAAACCTCAGCAGCTGAACACAATAAAGGAGCATTTCCCATGCCTCAGGGATGGGGGAGGGCCCTGCGCTGGGGCATTCTCACTCCAGGACCTGTGCTGCTGGAACAGTTCCCACACAGCATTGCGTGTCACTGTGGCAGAGGGAAAGGAGGGCCTTGCAGGATTCTGAAGCGGCACTTAAATGTTTTCATGGAGGATTGAGGCGGGTCACTCCCACGCACACTGCACTGGACAGGACTCAGTACACGGCCCCAGCCAACCACAAGGCGGCAAGGAGGTGCAAGCAGAAATGCTTGGATTACATCAGTGATAACCACTAACAACACTTCTGGTCAGTAATCACCCAGTTCACTACCTCTCCTCCATGTACTCCCCGGAAACAACCCAAGAATTCTGTCCACAAGCAGCTACAACATTGAATTGAGATTTAAGACTCTGAATAACAAGTTGTTATTGTTTTTATTTTAAAGCTAGAATTGGCGGGGTGGTGCAGAAAGAGATCTTCTATCTGCTGGTTCACTGTCCAAATTAGTTTGCTGCACAGCAAGGAACTCCATCCGGGTCTCCCATGTGGGTCCTGGGGGCCAAGAACTTGGGCCATCTTCGGCTGCTTTCCCAGGCACATCAGCAGAGAGCTGGATCAGAAGTAGAGCAGCCAGAGCTCAAACAGTGCAGCTTAACCCACTGTGCCACAACACGATGGTTCGTATACTGGTTTCGGAGGTTGCTCAGGTGGAGATCTAAAACTGGAGACAGGCTGTGCCCTGTACTCCACCTCTCACATTCAGTAATGCAATAGGGACAAGCTAAATGCATTGGGGTGGGGGGAAGAACGGACCACAACAGCCTAGGGATGATGATAGCTCACTAAGCAGGGGTGGGAAGAGCCTCTTACCCTGGGGGCCCCTGGGAGGAAATCCTTAGGCAACTGCTTTGTTTAAGCTACTGACATTTTAGGGTCCTTGCTGCAGCTTAACCTAACAGAATGTGTCCATCATTGATACAGAAATTGGAATCAGGGCATATTAAACCACAAAACAAAAAATACAACCCCTAACGTGTGTGACATTAACTTGCATGGAGGGCGGCAGAGAGATGGAGATGATGGTAGAATGGCAACCCTCGCTAAGCAGTAGCCAGCAATTGGTACAACTATTACCTACAGCAACTTAGAGGCAGGCAGCTTACCTAAGAAGCTTTTAGATCTAGGAGACAGATTAGGAGAATAAAATCTTAGCATAAGAATTGGTCGCAACAGAAGAGAGGAGCTCAGAAGAGAACTGGGGTAGCTTGCCCACAGGCCTAAGGGGCCGACAGAGACTGAAAAATGGCAGCTTGCTAGGCTGACAGAAGCAACTGTTTCTCTTCCCAGAGAGTACAACAGCTAATTCCAACCTAGCTTTGCTGGGGTGGCTGATCAGCAGATCTGTTTGCCCAGGACTGGCCTGGTTTTTTGCTTTTGTTTTTAATTTTTTTCACAGGCAGAATTAGACAGAGAGAGAGAGACAGAAAGAAAGGTCTTTCTTTTCCGTTAGTTCATTCCCCAAATGGCCACTATGGCCGGCGCACCGTGGCCAGGCCGAAGCCAGGAGCCAGGCACTTCCTCCTGGTCTCCCATGCGGGTGCAGGGCCCAAGCACTTGGCCATCCTCCACTGCACTCCTGGGCCACAGCAGAGAGCTGGCCTGGAAGAGGAGCAACCGGGACAGAATCAGGCGCCCCATCCAGGACTAGAACCCAGGGTGCAGGTGCAGCAGGTGGAGGACTAGCCTAGTGAGCTGCGGGGCTGGCCAGGACTGGCCCGGTTTTAGCACTGAAAAGTCTACATCCCAGGAAATCCCTCTTCCATCCAGGCAAACAAGAACGGTTGTTGCCCCTACTCGCAAGAAAGATGAAAACAGCACAGCCACGACAAGGGCCATTGCCCCGAATGGATTGTCTTAGAGCAAAGACCTTGCTCAAGTTACAGCACACACAGATCATTTCAATTAAACCGAACCACTTGGAGAAGCAGTTCTCCAATTCAAAGTTTGGGGCTAGCGCTGACTTGAGTTCCAAATGCTCCACTTCCGATCTAGCTCTCTGCTATGGCCTGGGAAAGCAGTGGAGGATGGCCCAAATCCTTGGGCCCCTGCACCCACATGGGAGACCCGGAAGAAGCTTCTGGCTCCTGCCATTGCAGCTATTTAGGGACTGAACCAGCAGTTGGAAGACCTCTCTCTCTGCCTTTCAAATAAACAAATCTTGAAAAAAATTCAAGTTTCAAAAATGCCCAAATTTGCCTGAGAGGCATGAGAATGAGAAAATCTGCCAAATTTAAGAAATCTCATAATTTTTTTTTTTTTTTGACAGGCAGAGTGGATAGTGAGAGAGACAGAGAGAAAGGTCTTCCTTTTGCCTTTGGTTCACCCTCCAATGGCTGCCGCGGCTGGCGCACCGCGCTGATCCAAAGGTGGAAGCCAGGTGCTTCTCCTGCTCTCCCATGAGGTGCAGGGCCCAAGCACTTGGGCCATCCTCCACTGGGCTATAGCAGAGAGCTGGACTGGAAGAGGGGCAACCGGGACAAAATCTGGCGCCCCGACTGGGACTAGAACCCGGTGTGCCGGCGCCGCAAGGTGGAGGATTAGCCTAGTGAGCCACGGCGCCAGCCAAAATCTCATAAATCTTAAAAAAAAAAAAAAAAAAAAGTCGGGGTGAGGGGGTGCCGGTGCTGTGGCGTAGTAGGCTAAGCTTCCATCTGCAAAGCTGGTGTTCTGGGCTAGGTTGGGCCAAAATGAATATCCCAGGCCTTTTACTTAGAGAAGAATTCTAAACACAGGCACAAACACGCATGCAGCATGGTGAGGTTTATTTAGAAAGTGAGAATACACAGGCACATGGGGGCTTCATTTAGGGACAGTGGGCCAGGAATGGTAAAAGCGGGATTTCACAGCCTGCTCTGTTCATCCTGGGTCCACGAGGTAAAGATAGAGCAAGAGAAAAACGGCCCCCTCCCCATTCACTGGGCTTCAAAAAGGGGAGTGGTTACTTCGTCCTGCCCCCAGATCAGGGGAGGTGCATCTTGGGGAGGGGTCATCTGATGACAGGATTACATGGGGGTGGGGTAGGTGTGGCCTCCAGCTCTGGAACTTAATCCATCTCCCTGCCTTTCCCCACATCACCAGCACCCCATATGGGCACCAGTTCGTGTCCCAGCTGCTCCTTTTCCGATCCAGCTCTTGGCTTATGCCCTGGGAAAGCAGCAGAAGATGGCCCAAGTGCCTGGCCCCTGCACCCCGCCAGGGAGAGCCGGAAGAAGATCCTGGCTTTGGATTGGCCCAGCTCTGGTAGTTGCAGCCATTTGGGGAGTAAGCCAGCAGATCTCTCTCTCTGCCTCTCAAATAAATATTTCCTCTCAAATAAATCTTTCAAGATAAAAAAGCTCTTGGCTCCTGGCTTTAGATCGGATCAGCTCTGGCTGTTGCAGCCTTTTGGGGAGTGAACCAGTGGATGGAAAACCTTTATGTCTCTCCCCCTGTCTATCTGTAACTCTATCTCTAAATAATCTTTAAAAAAAAAAGGGGGGGTATCTAGAAAAGGGCACCCCTAGCACGTGAATCTGCCTGTGAGATGAAAAGGGACCAACATACATGCACTCAGAAGCCAAGGAAGTGGAAACAGCATACAGCACTGATGGCCGGGCCATACAGAGCTATAGATAAACGTGATGCCTAAACCGCTGATGTCAAAGAACACTCGGGAAGCACAATTGGTTTCAGAGGGCAGCTGCTCTCCTCCTTCACCTTCAGAAAAAACCAAATTCATAAAAACAATGGACACACTCAGAATGCAAATACACCCTAACCAGAGGCCCAGGAGTGGACCCACTTGTATATGGGGCAGGGAACTGCGGAGCAGTGAATACAGCAACAACCAAAAGCTTCCATTTTTGGGAAAAGGTGAAGCTGCTTAGGTCTGGGGGCTCAAGTCTGTGAGGTGTGGCCACTTCACCAGCTGACTTTGCAATCAGAATTAAGCAGTCGTCGGGTGGAGAACAGGTGTCGACGAGCCCCAGGGTAGATGCCAAGGCCTCCTGGTCTGACTGTGCCCGTCTCCCAGACTCAGGGGGAGGTGATCACTCTCCTGTAGGGGACAGTCACACGGAGATTGTCTCAGTTTTGGCCCAGACGCAGGCAACTGAGACTCAACTGCCCCCGCCCCGGCATTCAGAGGTTCACTGATATTATTTTTCGATGAAGTGCTTCAGGCACTTTCTTGCTCCAAAGTTTCAAGATGTTAAGCCTCCCCCGGGAGTAATTTCAATGGAGGAAAACGACACGTGGTGGAAATGCACATTCACCTTTATTACGTTAGAAAAATTCATTTGAGCCACACGGTGGCCATTAATGCTCAGGTCCCGAGCAGGCTCTGTCACCCACCACGTGTGCGGGTGCACACACACGCACGAGACGCTGGAGGGGGAACTGGACAAGGAACAATGAGAGCGCCACGCTCCCCCTCCCCGCTGACTGTTCTCTACACCCAGAGGAGCTCTCGTGGAAGAGGCTGAACACCAAATAAACTGACCCCAAAGACCCACAAGTCGAAAGGAACCTCCGGCAGACGCTCTGGAAGTGTGGCCAGAAAGGTGACCATCCGCCAACAGCTAGAGATGCAGCACAGGTGTCCACAGCCCACTGCCGAGGACTCCAAAGCACAGAGCAGACGATGGGAGAAAAGGAGACCACTCTGTCCCATAGCCACAGGCGACCTGCTCACCCCTGCACATTCAACAGGTCTTTTCCAGGGCCTGGAGCACCCGGTTGGCTGCACTCAGAGCTTGCCGGCTAGCAAAGGGACAGCCCGCTGGCCGTTGTATTAGGTCAGTGTTCCCAGGTACAGCCGGCGCGGAGCAGGGTGTTACCGCATCCCTCGGGACGGGGGGTCCGGAAGGCCCTTGGGAGGTTCTGCGCCGGCTAGCTGGCCTCTGGTGCTCCAGGAGTTCCCGGCCGACGGGCTCTCCACTAAGCTTTCCAGGGACTCCATCACTCTCACGAAGATGGAGAGCAGGGCCAGCACCACGCCCAGGACGTAGAGGTTCAGCACATGCTTCATGGCCGAGAGGATCCCACTCCTCCACGGAGCAGCAGGGCTGCCTTCTGCTTCCGGAGGGCCCCTGGGTCCTGGGGATAGACAGGCAGGAGTCAATCCGCAGCCCCTGGGGATACGCACGCGCGGGCCTGGCCGACCGTGCCGTCCTCCAAGGAGGCGGGGGCCGAGGGGCGTTCTTCCAAGCAGCACCCCCCACCGTATTTACACTGCAAACGCTACAGCTGTGCGTCTTGTTTCGTGAACTAACTCCAGAGCACGCCTTAAAAACGCTTCTTTGGAAGACGCTGCTGCTGCAGGGCGCGACGTACAGCCCTGTGCTATGCGCAGGCACCAGTTAACAGTCGCGAAGTGAAGGCCCAGTCCTTTTGCAGGAAGAGGTAGAATTTAAAAACATGTCCTAGAGAAAGTCAGCCGCAGGAAAAACGAACAAACAAACAAACAAAACAACAACAACAAAACGCATCACAGAAGTAACCACAAAACTCTTTGAAAAGTCGCGATAACTCGGAGGATCAGACGCACCGGGCTGAGCACTTACAATGAGGCAGGCGCCCTGGAAGGTACCAGGACAGCGCGCTGAGCCCTGGAACAGGAACCCTGGCCTCGTGGGCAGTCACTACACAGCACGCTAAGGGGTGAGGAGAAGGCGGCGCCAGGGGCGCTTTGGTGGGGTAGCCCTGCTCTGGCCAGCGCGGGGCGGCCACGTGGATCCTCGTCAGGCACCCCGGGAGAGACGCCGGGGCGGCTGGCCTGCAGACCCCCGGCTGGGGCAGGGGCGAAGGGCTGCGGGCAGGGAGCCGGGGATTCAGGTCTAGGCGGGGGAAGCCCGCGGGCCCACTCACCTCGAGAGGAAGAGCCGAGGACGGACGCTCGCTGCCGCAGCACGTAGCGCAGGAGTCGGGAGGAAGTCCCCCCACCGACGGCAGCGAGGGAGCTCGGGGAACACGGCTCTCGGAGACAAAAGCCCAGAATGCAGCAAACCGCCACGCCAGGCCGCCCGGGATCGTCGCCTTATAGCCGCGGCCCCGCCCCCGCAGGCCGCGCACTCGGGCGCCGCCAGGCCCGCACGCGCACGCGCACTGAAGCCCGCACGCGCACGCCCCCCGGCGCACGTCCGCGGTCCCGCCCCACCGCGGCGAGAGCGGACCGGGATTGGACGCTGCGTCTGCCAGTTGTCGCGGCGCGCTTCTGAGTCGCGGCGGGTGCGAGCCGGAGTAGGGTTAGCAGTATGTCGGAAGAGGTGAAACACAGCGGGCTCCGGGAGTGAGACCTCGCAGCAGGTCGGCAAGTCTCTTTGTAGTCGATGGGCCCCAGTTTCCTCATCTGAAGCGAGAGCATTGGCCGCTGGTTGATTCTGAGGGGGCGCTTTCGGGGTGAACGGTCCAGCCTCACGCCCGGAGTTGGGGGCTGGGGTGCTGTTCTGAGGCGGCCTGGCCTCAGCGCGGAGTCGGAGTGGAGCGGTCGCGAGCTGCGGGCTGGGAGGCCGAGCTGGGCGCGGGGCCAGCGGGAGGGAGGAGCCACGTCCCCGCCGTCCCCTTTCCCCTACTTTCTGCGGTCCGGGAAGGCGGGGGCGGGGCCCCGAGAAAGTTTGGGATCCAGACGTGCAGGCAGGCACGCGTTTGGAACGCCTGGAACCGGCTTCCCTAGCAGCCCGCGGCTATCTGTGGGCCTTTTTTGGTCTCACTGTTCCGTCTGTGCCCTGTAACCCAATTCTAGGAATTGTCCTTGCCGACTCGCACGTGGAGAATGGAGCCTGCAGAGGTGGTCCTGGTGGTGCCGTGCCTAACAGCAGAGGACTGGGGCGGGGCCGGGGTGGGACCCTTAATAGGACTCCAGGGGCTGTCGTTGAAACACTACGAGTTAAGCCGCCGCCTGCCGCCTGCCTTCTGGTCGCTGGTTCGAATCCTGGCTGCTCCACTTCCGATCCAGCTCCCTGCTAATGGCCTGGGAAAGCAGCGGAAGATGACTCAAGTGCTTGGGCCCCTGCACCCCGGTGGGAGACCCAGAAGAACCTGGTTCCTGGCTTGTCTGGCCCAGATGGGGTCTTTGCAGCCATCAGGGCAGTGAACCAGCCAATGGAGGACCTCTCTCCATCTCTCCTTCTCTAAGTCATAATAAAATAGGAATCTAGTTAGATAAGTTAGGGTACATCTGTACAGTGGTTTATTATAAAGCCAGCAAAAAAGAATACACAGTTTTGTAGAAACAAGTGATCTCCACAATATATGAGAAATGCTAAGTGCACAGTATATCTGTGGTGTGCTATAACTTGTGTGAAAGCAAACACATAAAATACAATGTACACGACAAGCTATGGCCTCACACCCACTAGGATGATCATGTACCCAAAGCCAGAAAAGGACAAGTGTTGGTGAGGATGTGAAGGGGGAACTCTCATACACTGCTGTTCGGAATGTAAAATGGTGCAATCACTTTGCAAAACAGTTTGGCAGTTCCTCAGAAAGATAGGATTACTGTATGATCCAACAGTTCCTCTCCTGACTACCCAAGAGGATTGAAAACGTTCATACAAATATGTATGCACAGGGGCCGCTGCTGTGGTGTAGGGGGGAGAGCTGCTGTCTGCAGTGCCGGCATACCATATGGGTGCCGGTTCGAGACCCGGCTGCTCCACTTCCGATCCAGCTCTCTGCTATGGCCTGGGAAAGCAGTAGAAGGTGGCCCAAGTCCTTGGGACCCTGCACCCGCATGAGAGCTCCTGGCTCCTGGCTTCGGATCAGTGCAGCTCCAGCCGTTGTGGCCAATTGGGGAGTGAACCAGTGGGTGGAAGACTCTCTCTACCTCTCCTTCTCTCTCTGTGTAACTCTGACTTTCAAATAAATAAATCTTAAAAAGAAAAAGAAATAGAACATCTGAAAATGAAAGCTATGCTAACCAAAATTATAAAATTGATGGGCAAGTTAGATAGCAGGTTTAATCCTCTCTGCCACAGTGCTGGCCCTGAGGAATAAAAATTTTAAATGTCTAAGAGTTAATAACTAGCAAGCTGGAATGGTACACTTAGCCAAACCAACATTTAAAGGCAAGAGCACCTATGTAATAGAAAATATTTACAAATTATATATCTAATAATGGATTTGTATAAAAAATTCTCTTTTTTAAAGATTTATTTGAAAGAATTACAGAGAGAGAGAGAGACAAAGAGCGAGATCTTCCATCTGCTAGTTCACTCCCCAAATGGTCACAACAGCTGGAGCTGGCCAATCTGAAACAAGAGTCAGGAGCTTCTTCTGAGTCTCCCACATGGGTGCAATGGCCCAAATACTTGAGCCATCTTCCACTGCTTTCCCAGGCACATTAGCAGGGAGCTGGTTTGGAAGTGGAGCAGCAGGGACCCAAACTGGTACCATATAGACGCTGGCACCACAAGCAGTGACTTTTCCCGCTATGCCACAGTGCCGGCCCCAAAAGGAATTCTTATAACTCAGAAGTAAATGAACACAGGCCAGCATGTTGGTGCAGCGGGTTAAGCCACTGCTTATGGCGCTGACATCCCATATCAGAGAACCAGTTTGAGTCCTGGCTGCTAGTGCACCTGGGAAGGCAGTAGATGATGGCCCGAGTGCTTGGGTCCCCGCCACCCACATGGGAGACCTAAAAGGAGCTCCTGGCTGCTGGCTTTGGCCTGGCCCAGCCCTGGCTGTTGTGGCCATTTGGGGAAGGAACCAGCAGATGGAAGGTCTCTGTCTCTGTCTCTTTCTGTCTCGCTCTGCCTCTCAAGCAAATAATAATTATTTTTTAAAATGGGCAAAGGATTTGGATAGACATTTCTCCAAAGAAGTCTTAGAACTGGTCAATATGCACACAAAATGATATTGAACATCATGGCCACTAAGGAAATACAAATCAAAACCACCATGAAATGCATCCCAACCCTTCGGAGGGCTACAATTTAAAAAAAAAAAAAAAAAGGACAATACCAAGGCTTGTACACTGCTAGTGGGAGCATAAAATGTTCCTGCAAAATATTAAACAAAGTTATCACAGAAACTAGCAATTCTATCCTAGATATATACCCAAGAGAATTGAAAATATACGCCGACACAAATCCTGTACGTGAACACTCATATAAGTGTTGTCCATAATAGCCAAGGCGTGGATACTACCCAAATGTCTACCGTCTGATGAATGGACAAACAACATTTGGTATAACCATAGAGCAGAATATTATCTGAACGTAAAAAGATGCAAGGTTCTGATACAAGCTTCTACGTGAATGAACCTTAAAAACATGAAAGAAGCCAAACACAGAAGCCCTCTATGACGTGACTTTGTACAAAATGCCCAGAATACCTCCTGAAAGGTGTGTATTTATGTGTGTGTGAATGGGCAAGCATTTTCCACCCCTCTCACCAGACACTGCTGAGAGCAATCTTCTTTGGGTTGAAGTGCTTGGCTGGAGCAGATGATGTGGAAGAAGGTGGCTGGGGGGGAGAGCGCCAGGCTCCTCTGGGTTTGACAGCTCCGTGGCAGCCCGCTGCAGGACAATTCTGGCAGCACGGCCACTTGCCGTGGGACAGCTCTGGCTAACTGAAAAGGCAAGTGATTAAATTTGACCTGGGATTATTTAAATCACAATTAGGTTGCTTAATCGTAAAGCAGGCATTGCTTTAGGTTTTTTATTTTCTTTTAAGATTTTTTTTTAAATTTATTTATCTGAAAGGCAGAGTGACAAGGAGACAGACACAGAGATCTTCTATCCACTGCCTCACTCCCCAAATGGCCACAAAGGCCAGAGCTGGGCCAGACTGAAGCCTGGAGCCAGGAGCTCCTTCAGGGTCTCCCGCTTGGTGGCAGGGGCCCAAGCACTTGGGTCTGCTGCTTTCTCCAGGGCATTAACAGGGAGCTGCCTTTACAGTTTATCCCTGTTTAGCAGTGAGGCAGCTCCAGAATAACACCATCCCGCAGTGCCTCCCAGCACAGCACAGGGTGGAAGGCCTTGTAACAGATCCCTACCAACCATGACAAGATCTAGGTTTACAAGTAAACAAGCCAGAAAGGCCTCCATTAAGGCCGCCCCTGGCCTTACAGTAACTAACGTATAACCACCCCGTTTGTTCCTTGAAGATGCCCCTAGACTGCGAGACCTCACTGGCTTAGTCTCTCCACCAGCCCCTCCGATCACACCGTTCGGAGCTTCTCTTACTGGAACACAGCTTCACTTTTGCTCTCACCATCGTGTCCGGTCATCATCGACACCAGGCCTCAACTCCCCACGTTTCCTGCAATGGTAGCGTGTGCTGGATGGCAAATATTGAGGTAAAGGAGTGAACGTCTTGTTCTCGTGCGTTAATCTGAATCTCTGGCAAATACGTTTTTGGAGACAAGAGCAGTATGTGGATGCATGGATGAAGAGTAATTGAAGGGGCCTGGTGTGAGAATGTGAGCAGACGTGGAGTGGGATAGGATCTTGTCTTTGCCTAAGAAAGAATTCTGACGTGACACAGTAGCGGTTGGCAAGGTGGCAAGGTTTAATGGGGTAGGGCATCCGTCACAACAGATGGGCACCAATCCAGACGTTTCTGAGAGCGAGAGCCTCATCATTCAGATTGGGGAAAGCAAGGTTACCTAGTTTAATGGAGAGACTACACCTGACAGGCGAGCTGGGCATCTCAGTTAAGGACTAAGAGTTGAGCTGAGAGAAATACACCCGGCGGACCAGGCCAGAGTCTCAGGAAGGGAGTGCTGGGCGCAGTTTATACTCACATGGGGGTTTATAAGGGAGTGGGGTCCAGCTCCTCCTGCCATTTCTCCTTCCCCCGACCCTCTTCTTCTGGACAAAGGGCTTGCTGGGTGTGCAGCAGGTAAAATGCCTCCTTAGGTTTTATTACCCAGTGCTATTAAGCTGGGCAGCTCACGTGGCAGAGTAGAGGAGATTCCCCTCGCCAGTGCCAAGGCTCACTAGGCTAATCCTCCACCTTGCGGCGCCGGCACACTGGGGTCTAGTCCCGGTCGGGGCGCCGG